GTACCTGCAAACAGCTTCAAAGGCTCCTGGGGTTTGCAAACTTTTACAGGCAATTCATCCCAGCATTCAGAGAAGTCATCCTGCCCTTAACAGAATTTAACAGAACAGAACAAACTCCTTGTCCTGACAAAAACCTCTTTTTATTAAGTTACTGTGAATTCCTCTCATTCACATCCAGCAAAGCCTTTCAAGGAAGAATTTACAGTCACAGACCTTATCTAGCTTGGAGAGCTGCCAGGTCGAGATCTTCAAAATTTGGCAAGAAGTCTCTGAGAGTCACAAACCAATTAAGCGAACTAATTGTCTCCTGCAAACTCCCCTCCCCTTTCACTCCTCTTTATTCCCTATGGGAAGGACCATTCACCATCCACTTGTGGCTTTTCTCCTGAGTCGACCCTTGTTCCTTAGCTGTTCCTTTCTCCTGGCAGCTCTGTGCATGCACACACTGGGAACAGGCTCCAGCTGTTCTTCTGCCCCACTGATGTGTCAGATGACCCTGGCCCCATCTCTACCTCTGATACAGAGCACTCATCAGAGCCTCCCCCCAACTCCAGGACTGGTCCATGTTCCTACCCAACCTCCTCACTGTCCGAATCTGCTGCCAGATCCACTGGCCACTGGCGAGCCACAACAATGGTAATAAACTTATTTTCAAAGCAAGTCCACTTCACTGCTTGTTCGGGATTGCCCTCAGTGAAGAAACTGGTAAAAATGTTCATTAAACAGATTTACCGACTGCAAGGGATATCCTGCCAGGTAATCTCAGATCAAGGGGTCCAATTCACCACTAAGTTTTGGAGAGAGTTCCTGTGATCAGTCAGATCCACACAAGGACTTAGCTCGGCTTTCCATCTGAGTATGAACGGAGCTGCGGAACAAGCGAATGCAATGGTGGAGCAATATATAAAATGTTATGTGGATTACCAACAAGGGAACTGGGAGGATCTGTTGCCATTTGCAGAAGTGGCTTACAACAACGCTGTGCATAGCAGCACCGGATTAACCCCCTTCCAGGTCACCAGTGGCATGGACTTTGTCCCCATGCCCGAACTGCCCAGAGAAGCCCGCTCCTCCATGACTCTGACCAAGTGGATGGAGTTGCTGAGGAAGGGGTGGAAGAATACTAAAAAAGCACTGGCAGAAGCCACTGAGGCATATAAAAAGCAAATGGACAAACACCGATCTCTTCACACACACACCCTTCCATGTGGGAGATCGGGTTTATCTATCAACCAAATACATAAGACTGAAGTTGCCCAGTAAAAAGCTGGGACCTAAGTTTTTAGGTCCATTCCCAATAGTGAAAGTAATTAACCCAATGACAGTTCAGCTTAACCTCCCATGCATTCTAGGGAAAGTGCATCCTGTCTTTCATTGTAGTCTACTAAAGCCAGCAGTTGGGTCAAGATTGAGACAACAGACCCGACCAGCTCCCAAACCTATAGTGGTGCAAGGGGAAACCCATTATGAAGTTAAAAGAATTTTAGATTCTAAATTATATAGAAGTCGATTGCAATATTTAGTTCATTGGAAAGGGTACCCTTTGTCCGAAGCTACCTGGGTTAAAAGCTGGGGTGTAAAAGCAGACAGGCTAGTGAAGCAATTCCATGATAAATACCCTGATAAGCCCTGGGAGGGGGAAGAGGTGGTTAGGGAATATTGGTTTAACCCCCTATGTTCCTCTCGTTGCAGGACACGATCATTGGATGAAGTGGGGGATGGCCTGTCAGGCCTGGAAGCCATTTTTTGCATTGGATCTTCAGGCCTGCCACATTTAGTGCTGTGGAAAACTGGGAGGGGGGGATTGTATGCAGCAGGGGAGACATGTAGTCATAATAACATTCCTTTCTCTGAGAGTCAAGGACATCTTGCCCTGCACCTGGAATGGTGTGACTGGGAGGCATCTCCAGTTGAGACGGTGCATTGATTGGACCATGTGATGGACATGTGGGTGCTTGGCAGGGACTTGCACTTTCCTATGGGTGGGGAAAACCTGGAAGCTTTCAGATTTGGGTTTTCCCAGATGTGCCAATATGACATCTCTAATAAAATGGAACTTTGAAGAATCTCTAGCCTTGGAGTCTTCTTTCGTTGGGGGTATTACTTGGAACCATGGCACTGTTATTACTCTTTTCCAGTCCTCTGGTAATTCCCTGGTGCTCCAGGATCTTTGAAAGATATGGTATAATGGTTCTGAGTTGATGTCTGCCAGCTCCTTTAGAACTCTGGGATGTAAACCATTTTTAAATCACGCGGTACAGCTGATCGTCAGAAATACCTGTTCAGAGGAACCAGTAGCTTTTTTTTACTACCGGTTTGCCTGAACTGGTGCAAACTGGTAGCATTTCACCCCTGCCCATATGCCATCTAGAAGGATTTCATCCTTGGTTTTGTGCATTTTTGCAGATATGTAGTGATCTCTTACATATATTGCAACCCTACTCCTCTTTTGTTTGATATGTTTCTTTTGAATAGTTTATTTCCTTCCATCAGTACATTCTAGTTGTGAGTTTCATCCAACCAAATTTCAATAATGGCAACCATATCATACTTGCCCTAATGTACTAGTACTTCAAGTTCACCCTGTTTATTTCCCCAAACTGGTGTTTGTGTATAGGCACTGAGTCCTGCATGGCTGACTCTGGGTATACTTCCTATATCTCCTACTTTATTTCTGAGTTTATTTTCTCATTGTTTATTTATTTATTTATTTATTTATTTATTTATTTATTTATTTATTTTTAATTAATTAATTAATTAATTAATTAATTATCAAACTTCTATACCGCCCTTCTCCTTTCGGACTCAGGGCGGTGAACAGCCAAAATAAAAACATTTATACATAACATTACAGTTAAAAATAGATTTAAAATAATTACATAAATTTGGCCCGTAATTTAAAACTTGTCAATATAAAATCCGTATCAAAATTTTAAAACCAACTATAAAATCAAGACAGACCGGCTAACTGAAAAAAGTAAGTAAAAACCGACGAAAAGTCCGGAGGTCGGAGATCACTCGTATCTCTGGGGGTAGATTGTTCCAAAGGGTAGGTGCCACCACAGAGAAGGCTCTCCTCCTGGGGGTCGCCAGCCGACATTGTCTGGCCGACGGCACCCTAAGGAGGCCCTCTCTGTGGGAGCGAACCGGCCAGTGGGAGGCTATTGGTGGCAGAAGGCAGTCCCGTAAGTACCCCGGCCCTAAGCCATGGAGCGCTTTAAAGGTGGTCACCAACACTTTGAAGCGCACCCGGAAGTCCACCAGAAGCCAATGCAGCTCGCTCAGGAGAGGAGTCACATGGGAGCGCCCCGTCGCTCCCATAATCCCCCGCGCGGCTGCATTCTGCACCAGTTGGAGCCTCCGGGTGTACCCCAAGGGGAGCCCCATGTAGAGAGCATTACAATAGTCCAGATGAGAGGTGATGAGTGCTTGAGTGACCGTGCGTAGGGAGTCCCGATCCAGAAAGGGGCGCAACTGGCGTATCAGGCAAACCTGATAAAAAGCCCCCCTGGCCACGGCTGTCATATGCTCTTCTAAAGACAGCCGTGCGTCCAGGAGGACACCCAAGTTGCGGGCCCTCTCCGTGGGGGCCAATGATTCGCCCCCAATAACCAGTGATGGCGTCAGCTGGCTATACCGGGACGCCGGCAGCCACAACCACTCGGTCTTGGAAGGGTTGAGTCGAAGCCTGTTTCTCCCCATCCAGACCCGCACGGCCTCCAGGCACTGGGACATCACTTCCAAGGCATCGTTGGGATGGTCTGGGGTGGAAATGTACAGCTGAGTATCATCAGCGTACTGATGGAACTCCACCTCAAAACCACGGATGATCTCACCCAGCGGCTTCACATAAATGTTGAACAGGAGGGGTGAGAGGACCGACCCTTGTGGCACCCCACAAACAAGGCACCTTGGGGTCGACCGCTGCCCCCCTGTCAACACGGATTGCGACCGGTCGGAGAGATAGGAGGAGAACCACCGCAAAACGGTGCCCCCCACTCCCAGTCCCTCCAGCCGGCGCAACATGATACCATGGTCGATGGTATCAAAAGCCACTGAGAGGTCTAATAGGACCAGGATAGAGGAATTACCCCTATCCCGGGCCCTCCAGAGATCATCCACCAACGCGACCAATGCCGTTTCCGTGCTGTACCCAGGACTGAAGCCGGACTGGAGCGGATCCAAATAGACAACTTCATCCAGGTACTGGGGAAGCTGTCGCGCCACCACACTCTCAACAACCTTCGCAATAAAACGAAGATTGGAGACTGGACGATAGTTAGCCAAAACAGCTGGATCCAGGGATGGCTTCTTGAGGAGAGGCCTCACCACCGCCTCTTCCAAGGCGGCCGGCAGGACACCCTCACTCAAAGAAGCGTTGATAATTCCCTGGAGCCAGCTTCGTGTAACCTCCCGGGAAGCCAGCACCGACCAGGAGGGACACGGGTCCAATAAACATGTGGTCGCGTTCAGCCGTCCCATGATCCTGTCCACGTCTTCGGGAGCCACAGGATCGAACTCCTCCCAGATAACACTCTCAAGGCCTGCCTCAGTCATCTCGTCTGAACTAACCCAGTCAGCGGCCAAGTCTTCCCGAATCTGAGTTATTTTATCATACAGATACTGTACAAAATCCTCAGCTCGGCCCTGTTTGAATGGTTGTCTTGAAGTTTATGCTTTATTAGGTCCTAAAGATCCTAAGGATTGGTCACCCTCCCTTCTCAATTTTAGTTTAAACCCCTTCTGATAAGCTGACCCAGTTGTTTTCTGAATACATTCTTCCTGATTCCTATGAGGTGCAGCCCATCCCTTGCCAGAAGCCCTTCATGTAGGTAATGCAGACCATAGTCTATGGTCTAGCTGATACTGGCTGGGGAATTCTGGGAGTTGAAATCCACACATCTTAAATCTGCCAAAGTTGAAAAACACTGAATTGGGCAGTGATTTGTATTCAACCATTCTGTACTGAGGCATCTAACAACATGCAATAACCAACTTACCTTTTTATAAAAGATCACAAGGTCCATCTCTTGGTCTCCCTTTGTAAGAAACAATGGAGGTCTAGTAAGGGATTGTTTAACTGGATTGGGCAATGCTAAAATTTGACCATCATCCCCAAACCACTTTTTCCCCTGCAAAAAAGAGGACATAAAAACATTTTAATTTTGCCAGAAGTATCTTGTAAAAACTAGACCATTCTTCAGAAAATTAAAGCTAACAATCAATAGGAAATTAATCCTTGGTTCCAGTCTTACCTGATTTTTTTTTTAAATCTTCTTTTATTATTTTTCATGTAATGGGAAACAGGAATGTAAATCAGCTACTATTATGATTAGTTTCTAAACAGGCATTGGTTTTACTGTCTCTATTGCTTTCACATATGTTGCTATTTTTTATTGCATTGATTATTGTTTTGTAAAGTGCACTGATGTTTCTTAAACAAAGAGTGATATGCAAATATTGTAAGTAAAATGAATTTACTTTTTTTAAAAAAAGCCAGCATCATCTCCATATCCAGGACTATGTCAGACTTTTCAATGGGTCTTCGTAAAAACTAAATATAGAAGGTGGTTGGATACTAGTTTTTAAGTCAGAAATGTATCCGTTGGCCCAGAAGAAAGACAAAGTTGACATAGAGAATGACAGAAAGAGGCTGCCTTCTAGTAAACTGATGTTCATGAACACACTTGTAAGTAGATCATAAACTTCCTAACAAACAGGAAGCAGCAGGTGAAGCTAAGCAGAATCGCATCAGATACCTGTACAATTAGCACAGGGCCCCCCCAAAGCTGTGTGCTCTCCCCACTTCTCTTCTCTCTGTATACCAATGACTGCATCTAAAATGATCCATCTGTTAAACTACTGAAGTTCGCAGATGACCAGGGCCGGATTTAGATGAAAAGAGGCCCTAGGCTATTCCACTTATGAGGCCCTTTCACCTATAGTGAAAGTGTAATTTTAATTTTGCTAACAATTTGAATGTAGGCCCCTCTTGATCTTGAGGCCCTAGGCTGAAGCCTAGTTAGCCTATAGGAAAATCCGGCCCTGCAGATGACACAAGAGTGATCGGTCTCATTCGAGATAATGATGAATCCACATACAGACGGGAGGTTGAACAACTAGCCTCGTGATGTGACCGAAACAATCTGCAACTGAACACATTCAAAACCGTAGAAATGGTGGTAGACTTTAGGATAAATCCTTCCATACTTCCACCTCTCACAATACTAGACAACACAATATCAACAGTTGAGACCTTCAAATTTCTAGGTTCTACCATATCGCAAGATCTAAAATGGACAGCTAACATCAAAAACATCATCAAAAAAGCACAACAAAGAATGTTCTTTCTGCGCCAACTCAGAAAGCTCAAACTGCCCAAGGAGCTGCTGATACAGTTCTACAGAGGAATTATTGAGTCTGTCATCTGCACCTCTATAACTGTCTGGTTTGGCTCTGCAACCCAACAAGACAGACACAGACTTCAGAGGATAATTAGAACTGCAGAAAAAACCTGCCTTCCATTGAGGACCTGTATACTGCACAAGTCAAAAAGAGGGCTGTGAAAATATTTACAGACCCGTCGCATCCTGGACATAAACTGTTTCAACTCCTACCCTCAAAACGACGCTATAGAGCGCTGCACACCAGAACAACTAGACACAAGAACAGTTTTTTCCCAAATGCCATCACTCTGCTAAATGAATAATTCCCTCAACACTGTCAAACTTTTTGCTAGATCTGTGCTACTATTGATCTTCTCATCGTTCCCATCTCCTTCCACTTGTGGCTGTATGGCTGTAATTTTGTTGCTTGTATCCTTTCGATTTATATTGATATTTTTTCCCTGATTGCTTATTTGTACCCTATGACTATCATTAAGTGTTGTACCTTGTGATTCTTGATGAACGTATCTTTTCTTTTATGTACACTGAGAGCATATGCACTAAGACAAATTCCTTGTGTGTCCAATCACACTTGGCCAATAAAAAATTCTATTCTATTCTATTCTATTCTATTCTATTCTATTCTATTCTATTCTAGTCTAGTCTAGTCTAGTCTAGTCTAGTCTAGTCTAGTCTAGTCTAGTCTATTTTGTGATCTGCTAGCCCATCTAGGCAGCCATTTTTTGAGGTCCCTAAGAACATTAAAATGCCAATGGTCCCCCTAGTTCCATAGGTTTTGGGAAAACTGAAGAAATGGTAATAATTCTGAAAAGTTTATGTATGAATCCCTCACTTGAGAATAGTCAAACCCAAGGCATATAGGACTGAAGGCTCATTTCTATGCCCCAGAATTCTTGGAATTTTCCTGAAATCAGGCATCTCACATTAGGTATCTGCTCTTCTGTCAAAAGAGAAAACCCCACCTTGGGAAACAGCCAAAGAAGGAAAGGACTGCAGAAGATGAATTGGGATGGGCTGAGATGGGAGAAGCTGAGATTCTGAAGGATCCTTCCTCTTCCCAAAGTTTTCAAGCCTCCAATGTCATAATGGCCAAGTCCTTGCTCTCAGGCTCTCCCCAATATTATCCCAATGGAAGGATAGAATGACTAATTTAAAAACTCATTAAAGGATAGAAATTTGCATTTGTCTCTGTGTCCACATTTCCATTCTGCTGATCTGTACAGAAGTGGTCCTAGCATTCAGTCCTATCAGTTGCAGTGCTTCACCGGAATGGAACAACTCACAGTGGTTAGGTGGACATACATAGGTGGCTGTGGCTGGGTGGGTGCAGCTGGGTTGGTGCAGCTTGCGGGCATCGCCAGATGGGCATGGCTGGGTGGGCATGGCTGGGTTGGCACGGAACAAATTGCACCGGCTAACTGAATGTGTAATTCAGCATCCCACCAGCTCCTGCACACACATACACACACACACACCATTTCGAGCTTGGGGACTTGCCTCATTCTAGCATCACAAATTAGCAGTAAGATGCAGATCATGGACAGAAGGGAATAGCTAAGAGCCATCACAGGACATTTAAAGTTTGGTCTGAAGTTTGCAAAGGGAGTTACTGCTAATCAAGGTAGGGAAGGAAAATAGTTTATAAAAGTTCCCAAGCTCAGAATGGTATATGTGCATGTATGCACAGCATGCCAAAGAAGAGATTCTTCTCCCCAAGCCTGGGCATGACTGGAAGCTTCCTAACATGGATGCAGATAAAAGTCCCCAAAATCAGAATGGGGTGTGTGTCCGCATACATGAGCATCCAGCACGCCAAAGGAAAGGTTCTTCCCCAAAGCTGGGGCGCAATTGGCACCTTCCCAGCACAGATGGAAATAAAAGTCCCTTAAGTCAGAATGGTATTTCTGTCTGTACCTGTGTGTACACATAGACAGTATGCTAAAGGAGAAGTCCTTCTCGCCAAACCTGGGCATAATTGGCAAGTTCCCAGCATTGATGCAGATAAAAATCTGCAAACGTGGAATGGGGTAGCTACGTGCGGGCAATTCAGGACGGTGAGGAGCTGGTGGGGCGCCAATTCTCCTCTCATTCAGGAAGCCAGTGCAACTCGTTCTGTGCTAACCCAGCCACACCCACTCATCCGCACCCATCCGGTCCCACCCACTCAGCCAATCACCTGGTGGTGCTGAGCCAATGGCACCATACCCACTTGCCTACACCACCCAATCATGTAGTCAGTTGTGTCACTGTTCACCTGTTTGCACTCACCCATCCACACTGACCTGGCTACCATGAGTCATCCTAGACCCGTGCTTCATCTACTTTAAATTAGGCTTCACCCAAGGGTTGCAACTCTTTTGTCCTCAATCTACCAAATAGTTTGTTATGCATATTTCCAACCTCTTTAAATTGTATAGTCTGTTAAAGAGGCTATTAAAAATAGAGTCCCCAAGCTCACTTGAAACATTGGCAACTGAACCATTTAAGGAAGATAAATTATTATAGCAAATAGCACATGCATGAGGCACCATACCTGTTCCTGCTTGAGTATCCTATTCTCCATGATGTTCTGGTTGGACAATGACACAACAGGACGTTCTCCTGTGTAGAAACCTTCATCCTCAAGAAACCGTGGTTGCATATTTTCAGGCATCTTCAGAGAAGGAGGCACTAGAAGGAAGATACAATATGTGAAGAAAGATAGCAATATGTGAGAACAACCTTGAGGGAAGCAGGAATGAGATGCTACCTAGGAAACCGTCAGACAAGAGTGGAGAGAAAGGAACCCATAGCTGCTTAATGTCAGAGAAAGAAACTTAGGAAAGATGTCCTAAATTGATCAGGCTGTAAAGAAATAGTAGATTTGTACTTTCAGACTTACAAGGTTTTGTTAATATAGCCATATAAGAGTATAATTAGCTCATCTGCTCATGTTTCCTGTCTGGTTTACCTGGAAGGTTGACAGACAGAGATGTTTAACACTACTACTACTACTACTACTACTACTACTACTACTACTACTACTACTATTACATTCCCTGGACAAATAATTGCAGGATTTTTTGGCAAGACTTTTGGAAGCAACTTGCCCTGGCTTTCTTCCTGGAGCTGACAGGGATTGGCCCAAAATCATCCAGCTGTTTTTGTTTCTAAAGTGGGTCTAGAACTGACTCTCCTGGTTTCCAGCTTGGTGTCTTAACCACTAGACAAATTATCACTTATTACCGTATTTTTCAGACTATAAGATGCTCCGAAGTATAAGGTGCACCTAGCTTTTGGGAATGAAAAGGGGGATGGAACAGGCCAAAAACAGGATGCGCGGAGGCTGAAAACGGGATGCGCAGAGGTCGAAAATGGGGTGCACGGAGGCGGTGATAGTCGGCAGCAGCGATGGGCAGCAACAGCGATCCCTGCAGCCTGGAACAGCTGATAGGCGGTATTCTGGGAGGGTGATCCAATCACCAATCAGCTGCTTGTGCTAAATCAGGCTGTGCTGATGCTGACCAGGCTGTTTGCTGCAAGGAGGTAAATTGCTGGGAGGCAGAGGCCGAAGGGTAGGGGCCAGCGGGTAGGTGGGGCTTTGGCAACATTCACTGTATAAGATGCACAAACATTTCCACCCACTTTTTTGGGGGGTAAAGTGCGTCTTATACACCGAAAAATATGGTAATTAGTATTCATTAATTGTTTTTATATTAAGATTCTAGGTAGACATATTATTTTGCTTTTTGTTTGTTTTGTTCTCTATTTGCTTTATTGTTTTAGTGAATTATAATCCAAGATGATTTTGGAACAAATGGATAGAAGAGAGTCAAGTATGTTACCTTGACATCTAAAAATGAATGAAAGAAACCATTCAGAAGTCTGCAACTGTGGTGTTCAAAATAAAACTAAGGAGAAATCTTTAACAGTTTTGAATAGTTATTTACAACTCTAACTTAAAACATGGGCAGAAGCCAAGTGGAAAAAAAATACCATAGATATCAAAAATTTTGAGATCTTTTTGAAGCAATTACCAACTGTAATATAATACCTTTAGTAAGACAAATTAACTACCCATAATATGCAAGCTTTTCTTAAATATTCTTCAGAATACATTTTAACCAAGAAAAAAAGAGAGGGGAGAAGAAAAAGGAAAACATTAAATATAATAGTTCCCCAGTAATGATTTTTAATAACCTCATGATCAAATGGAAGAGGTGTTATAAAGACTTAATTGGATTTCAGAAACACATATTGCAATTAACAAGCAAGAACTGTTCTTCTCTTGAAAATTTAAAACATTTTATACTTATCAGTAGTGGGTTTCAAATCCCGGCACTACCGGTTTGCTATCGGTAGCACGTGGGCGCTTGCTTTGTGAGCGTGCTGCACTGCTGCGCATGTGCAGAGTGTTTTTGATGATGTCTGGGCGGGTGGGTGGAGGCTCCTGCAACCGCTGCTACCGGTTCGCCCGAACCAGGGCAAACTGGGAGCAACCCACACTGCCTACTATGATTATTCATAGTGAATTACAGCATATAAAACAAAATTGTATTGGTTTATCTAGTTCATATAACTTACATCAGACTTGCTCAAATAAGTACCTTCCAAATATTATCATTCCCAGTGACTGTAATGGAATTCTAGGATTTGTATTCTCTATAAGTGGAGAACATTAGGTTGGGAAAAGCTGGTCTCTTGAATAGGTTATTGGCAATACTTGGCAATTTGGGAGAAATATATTAGCCCTATCTGTAACTGATGGGCACTGCATCCACCATATTTTCCTACAAAATATATATTTGGTTTTCCATAGCAATTTCTAGTCTTGGTTTTGAATACATATATACAATTTTCAAAGCTGATGTGAAACTATAGGAAAAAAACTGAAATGTGAGAAAAACTGAAATAGATACAATACTTATTTTTGGTGCTCACCAGAGACGCAAAGGTACTTTATGCATTATAAAATGTATTCAGTTCACAGAAGCGCATTAGAATAATAAAACCAAAAAGTAAAACTTACTCAAATAAAAATTAAAAATGCATTGATTGAATCTACTTTACAATGCTTTTGTCAAAATTCTGTCTGACAAACCCAACCAAGCCAGCACTCCAAAACAATTGATCTCTTTAACAATTGTTTTATTGAGTACATCATTTCTTCATTTTGGATCACAATTTCAATCTTTACAGCACTCCGGCCCTGTAGCGATTTTAAAAGGGGTGAGCCCCGTGCTACTGTGCACCACTTTATTGTAGGCAACCTCAGCGAACGGCAGACAGTCTTCCCAGTTAGATTGCTGATAGTTGACATGGCAATGCTGGTACTCTTCTATCATGGCATTCACTCGTTCTACGGCCCCATTTGTGCTCAGATGAAATGCAGAGCTAAGACCGTGTGAGGACCCTATTAGACTTACAAACCTCTTCCAGAACTTAGTGGTGAATTGGACACACACATACACCAGTCTGAAATGATTTGTTTCAACAACCTGTGCAGTTGGTAAATGTGTTGAAGGAGCATCTTAGCTGGCCTCTGGTTGGGAGGCTCAAGTAAGTGATGAAGTGAGCTTGCTTGGAAAATAAGTCTATTACTGCCCAAATCACAGTTTTTCCTTCACTCTCTAGGAGCTCAACTATGCAGTTCATCATGATCTCTTCCCAGGGCCAGATTGATTCCACCACTTGCTGCAGTAGGTCTAGGCTCTTCCCTGGTCTCTTTTTCATTGTTGCACACACTACATAACTTTTTGCATAGCTTTCTATGTCCCTTTTCATTCCTGGGCACCAGAATTGTCTTTTGGCTAAATACAAAGTCTTTAGAACCCAAAGTGGCCAGCTTGCTTGATCTCATGGCTCCACTGCAAGAACCTATGAGAACTCATAGGTTCTCAGGAATATACAGTATGTCTCCCTTCCATGCCAGTCCATCTTTTGATATTAGTTTACTTCCAGGGGCGTCAAACCAGTTATCAGACTGTAACTCCCTCCTTATCTGTTAAGTCAGATCGCAACTGCCAATCTTTTCACCTGCTGCCTTGTGATCGCCTATGCTGCTCATTGATTTGGGTGTGTGGGTGTGGGCGTGTGGGTGTGGGTGTGATTGCATTCACTACTTCTCTGTTACTCTTGTACTGCAGCATGTGGGACAAGGCATCTGCTAGAAAGTACTTCCCCCCTGGTATGTATTTCAGTTTGAAATCGAATCGATTAAAGTACTGTGCCTACCAGACTTGTTTCAGAGAGAGTTTCTGGAGGATTCTCAGTGCTTCCAAATTCTTATCATCAGTCCATACCTCGAAAGGCACTTTACTCCCTTTGAGTAGTTGCTGTTGTGGTCTGCCAGTGGCCAGCAGAGCTGGCAGCAGATTTGGAAAGTGAGGAGGTTGGGGAGGAACGTGGGCCAGTCCTGGAGTCTGGGGAAGACTCGGACAAGGGCTCTGCATCGGAGACAAGAGAGGGGGCCAGGGCCATCTGGTAGTTATGTGCTGCCTCCGGAGCCTCAGAATCTGATATCAGCGAGGCAGAAGAAAAGGGGGAGCCTGTTCCCATTGCGCACATGCACAGAGCTGCCAGGAAGCAAGAACAGTTAAGACAAAAGGGATGACTCAGGAGTAAGTTTTGGAGATGATTGGCCTCTCCCATAAGACATAAGAGAGAAGCAAACGGACGTGAGCCTTTGCAGAAGCAATTTGTGCATTCTGGTCAGTTCAAACTCTGAAAAGCTCCATTTGACTCTGTGCTCCATTTGGCCTTGCAAAACTAATTGGCAATTAGGTCTCTGGCAGTGTTTCAAGGGAGATGAAGGTGGGTGCTTATCAGCATTACCTTGAAAGACTGTGGCAGACATCTGTTGGACTCTTCACAGAATGTCTGTGAATTATTATGAATTAAGAGCCTTGGTGGCACTGTTAAGTAACACCAGCTGCCTGCAATTAATGCAAGTTCAAATCTCACCAGGCTCAAGGTTGACTCAGCCTTCCATCCTTTCAAGGTAGGTAAAATGAGGACCCGGTTTGTGGGGGCAATAAGCTGACTTTGTATAAAAAAAGAACACCGCTTTGGGGGGTGGGCGAAAGCCCTACTAAGCAGGTATATACAAAAGTATGAAGGCTATTGCTTAATACATTGTAAGCCACCCTGAGTCCCCGGAAAAGGGCGGCATATAAATCGAACCAACCAACCAACCAATCAATCAATCAATAATACAGGCTGTGAATGACCATAATTCACAGCCATTTAAATAAAAAAAATGTTTTTGGGGACTAAGCCTGTGATTTAAGTTTTCTCAGGGTTCCTAGGTCAAAACACTTGCCACCAAGTAAATAGCATTCACTATTTCTCCGTTGCTCTTGTGCTGCAGCATGCGGGACAAGGCATTAGCCAGAAAGTACTTCCCCCATGGTATGTATTTCAGTTTGAAGCTGAATTGATTAAAGCACTGTGCCCACCGGACTTGTTTTGGGGAGGGCTTCAGGGGGATTCTCAGAGAGGTATGGTCACTCTTTACCTCGAAAGGCACTTTACTCCCTTTGAGGAATTGCCACCAGGTACGTAACGCCCACCTTCTCCCAGTGTGAGACAAGGAAGCTTTCACGTTCTTCTCCTTAGAGACACTGCCCATAGTCTATAAGTCTCAGTGAGCTTTTGGGAGGTGTAAGTGCATGGTTGCAACTTTCCTTCTT